CAACATGGCGGACTCCATGGAAAATGGCTCATTCTAAAGGCAACTATATATATATCTCTATCAGGTGCTACACTAAACACACACATATAGTATAAATACTATTTTTCATTTCTGATCCTCCTTAATGTTACACACTGGACCTTTAAGTGTATTTGGTCATAGTATAAAAGTATTGGAATAATTTTTGACCTGATGACTAGATCAGAAGTCAGAGGATCACAAACATTATAACAATTAACCACGTGGAGCATATTAATGTCTACCAAATTGCAATAGTCACCAAAGTCAGTAGGATTAGAGTTCATAAATACTGATCCAAATTCTGATAAATCCAACAGTGTTTCAGTCTGGACCAAAGTGGCGCACCAACCAACAGACATCTCTAGTACAGCAACATAGCTCATGTGGCTAAGAACCACTATAATGAAATTACTGTTAAAACTATTTTGACAAGATCCGATCTGAGCTAACAGAGGTTAAAAATACATATTTTCCGAGACTTCAAAGACATGTTTTGAATTAAAAACTTAGCTACTTTGCATAAATGCAAAGGCCAGGATACAAACACAAAGTGTGCAGTGTCGCAGGAGTGGTAAAGGTGTACATTATTATGTGCAGTTCATTAAAGCAACTGTCAAAAACTGTTCAGAAATAAACAGCATAAAGGAGGCAAGTTTTGGAGTAATGACTGCACATCAATGCAGCACTGACTTTATTCTCAAACACATTATTAGAATCTAAAAATAAGAAAATCTTCATGGTTGTTGTTGCCCAGAGTCCTTTCATCTGCCAAAAACACATTAATACAAAGAGATACAGAGCGAGAGAGACGTGTCTCTCATCATCATCATCATTAACACTAAAACAAAACTTGATTTGATTAAAAAAAACAACATTAAAACACAGCCAACCCAGCAACAGTTATAGTTTCTTAAATAGCCTCTGTGCACAGAGAAATAGAGATGACAAAAGAGACCATGCAACCCAATCAGCCACTCTGCCTTCTCATTAACACTTCACACGCTCACACACACGCACGCACAGTTTGGATCCAAATCAATATTATCAACAGACATATGCCAGGAGGAGGAGCTGTCATCGTACAAAGGAGTATTTTTGTTTCTTTTTTTTTTTCTCCAACAAAGAATTGTTTGACATTTCATTATTTCAAGGACTAAAATACATTGAATTTCTACCCTGCAGATCTGAGCCTCACTGCCAGGGAACAATGAAAGTTCTTTAATCGTACACAATTATTCACAGTCAGCGCCTGGTTAAAAAGGCAACACTGCTCCACCTCTTTTCTCTTATTTGTCTTTAGCTGAATAAAGCAGTGTGAATTCAGCCATTATCGCTGCGTTCAACACTGCTTCTGTTCAGAATCACAATACGTTTTCTGTCTCTGCAGACAGTGTGTGGGACTTCAGTCCACACTGCATCAAACTCAAGGCTTATATTCATATAATTAAAGAACCAGTGGGGAAACAGTTTGTGTACTATTTGGTTATCAACCTTTTGTTTGTGTGCTGCATTCAATTGACTTTGGCCGTAGACGGATACAGCAACTACAAGGTTAAAAAAAATCAACAGCTCAAACCATTATGTTACAGCAATGTACACTTGCTCATCAGAGCCTTTTGGAACTGACGGTAAACACCATCTTTACAAAATGAGGAACTACATATGAACTTTTTAGGGCAGACAGGAAACTAGACAGAATATCCCTTCTTTCTGAGGGAGGTTGGAGTATATACACCTATCATCATGGTTTACAGCGTAGAACCTGCTGCTATACACATTTTCAATTCAAATCATAGCAAGTCTCATGCTGCAAAGGATCAGTACAAAAAAATACAGCCAATAGCAGATGTGAGACCAGCCAAGGAACATGCAGGAGCCCTGTTCTTAACTGTCCTGTTGCCCCTTATTAGAGACATTAGTAATAGACAGAAACGTCCCATTATTCTACTGCTTGGGCTTTAGTTTGAAGTGCTGAACTCGAGTTTAGTTCAAATGAAAGGTGGTCTGTTGGTTGGGTCCTCAGGGGGTTGAGGTTGGAATAGGATGGCCTGGGTCCATGTAGGGATGAGGCTAGAGGTTCCGTGGTGTGGCAGTAGAAGGGCTTGGTTGAAGTTTGGTGTCACTTTGTCCTGAGATTAGCTCAGATAGAGGTGTTTGTCTCTCTGAAGACCTCTGCAGGAGGACAGGAGAAACAAAGAGTGAGGCCACAGTCAACAGTATCTGACATCTGTCGCATTGTTGTGTAAACATTATATATATGAGTTTTGGAACCGTAGTACAAACAACTATTAGATATGTAAAGATATAGTGGAGTTATGGCGTCACCCTCTGCCTGTGTTGCTATC